AAGGGGGATATTCTGTCGATATGTTGCGAGATTCCGTCCACGAAAACAGTCACCAAAAGAATCATTGCACGTCAAATTGCCTCAATATACGATCCTTTTGGATGGCTAACACCGCTCCTAACGAAACCCAAAAGATTCCAGCAGGAATTGTGGAAGAAAAAGTTTGATTGGGATACTGTACTTCCTACTCCTCTTGCCCAGGAATGGGACGAAATCAGACAATACGCGCACGGGTTCCAGAAATCATTCTCACGACGAGTCCCACAAAAGGCAAACTTGGCCATATTCGCGGACGCCAGTGAAATCGCTATGGCCACATGCGCCTACCTTTTTGACGGTAATGCGACTACTCTGATCGCCGCGAAGTGCAAATTCCCATCAATACAAGGGAAAACCACGATACCAAAATTGGAAATGAATGCACTCACGATGGCGGTCAGACTAGCCCTATCAATCTTCAATGCAATTGGAAAAGGCATTGACACACCTTCTAAGGAAATATACATCTTCACAGACTCAAAAATAGCTCTACACTGGATTTCTACGACCCAAGATCGAAAGGGAGTAGGAGTCCTTGTAAACAACAGAGTTGCGGAAATATACAAAATTCTACAGGTCTTACAGGAAGCAGGTAATATAGTATACTTCAAGTACATTCCCACAAGCGATAATCCAGCAGACGCAGGGACGCGAGGGCTAACAAAAGAACAGTTGGAAAACCACCTTTGGTGGCAAGGTCCGGAATTCCTCAAAAAACATAGTTCCGAATGGCCAACTTTGGATTTCCCCGTTACTATCAAAGCCTCAGAAGAAATGGTGGCAATAAACTTTACCGTCGAAAAGTCAGTGGAAACAGGGGAACAAGTGATAAACCTGAGTAGATACAGCACGTTTACAAAAGCTAAAAGAGTTACAGCTTGGGTACTACTATTTCTTATGAAAGCCATGAAGGTTTTATCACAAGAGAGACGAAAACAGATTGAAAACGAGTTGGAAACACGCAACATAAACAATCTCAACCTACCCACTTATATAAACGCAGAGTTAATGAGAGCAGCAGAAATAGTACTGATAAGAAACCATCAACGCCTATTCTTGTCCAGTAACTACAGAAAATCTATGGAAAACACGCTCCGACTATTTCAAGATCATGACAACATCTGGAGATCACAAGGGAGATTTGCAAACTCCGACTTGACTCAAGACACAAAAACTCCAATTTTCATAGCGTCAAAAAGCGAACTAGCAGCATTGCTTATAAAAGAAGCGCATGGGACTTACCATCTGGGTATAGAACACACTATCGCGAAAGTTCGAGAACGCTACTGGATCCCAAAAATTCGTCAACAAGTAAAACATCTCGTAAACAATTGTTTTCAATGTAAAAAATTCAATGGGTTACCGTACCCCTATCCAGACTCCAGTAGTCTACCAGAATTCCGAACTAGACAAAGTCGAACCTTCCAACATATTGGTCTGGATTTCTTTGATCTACCCAACATCCCAGAGAGAAATGACCAAACAAAGGTTTACGGATGCATCTTTACCTGTGCCACAACCCGCTTGATCCATTTAGAGGTAGTGAAGAGCATGGCGACGACGGAATTTTTGAACGCGCTTCGTCGATTCATAGCGCGCAGGGGGGTCCCCGATTCTATAACGTGTGACAATGCACCAACTTTCCTCTTAAGCGAATCTATCCTCACAGACCAGCAACTTCCAGATGTAAACCCTGAAATAATGAAAATGGTATCTGACCGCAATATTGAATGGCGACACATCACACCCTATGCGCCTTGGCAAGGGGGATTCTACGAAAGACTAATCAAATCTATAAAACACGCCCTGTACAAAGCCATACTTCCAGCCAATATTGCTTCGTTTGATCATCTAACCACGGTGATAGCGGAAATAGAGGCATGTCTAAACTCGCGCCCTCTCACGTACCAAGGATCGGACCTCGATTCGTTAAATATCATACGTCCTATTGACTTTGTACAGCGCGATTTAGTCTTGACATTCCCATATTCGCAGAGCGAATCCTCAAGTGACCCCACATATCACACACGCGAAGAGATGCAAACTTTGGAGACAAGAATTCAAGCGGAAAAAGCCTTGCAAGCCTCGTGCGCTGTTACGGAAAAATTCTGGAAAATTTGGCGGGAACAATACCTTCCAAGTCTAAGAGAAAAGCACAAGCAAAATATCTCAAGTAAACGACATTGTAATGAATACCCAAAGGTAAATGATGTAATTTTGATAATGGATCCAGTTCTCCCAAGGAACGAATGGAAAATAGCGAGAGTCACTGCTTTGCGCAAGAACCTCAGAGGCGAAATACGCGAAGCCGAGTTAATTACGCACAAAAAAAGAAAGTTACGAAGGCCTGTTAACCTTTTAATTCCGTTAGAACTAGAAGACAATGGAACGGAGGAATTGCAACATGATGAAGAAGATCACATGGAAAAAAAACAATCAATCGAGCCCTCACAACTATAATTTGCGCCCCCGCAAAGCGGTAAGCTATGTGGATAACACTGTATCATCAGTGATACACGAAGCCAAAGCTAGAATCAAACCGAAATGGTTCTTGTTCCATTTGATGTTATTTTCTTGCATCACATGCGTATTCTCGACCGAATCGAAAAACATCAACTTGACTTGCGTAAAAGATGGAGTGTTAATTGAAACAACAAAAAATAATACCGTAGAAATTTGCGCCGACAATCAATGCACACTCCAAAAGCTACAACCAGGAAAAGTTCGAATGCAGTTTTCACCAAGTATCACTCTGCACGATCACCTGGTCACCTTGAAATGGATTGACAATGGTCGTACGGTAACAACAGAAAAACTATGCGACAAACTAAGTTTCTGTGACAACATAGACTGCTGGTTCTGTACAACGGTGATACTAAATCCGGAATGCTGGCCAATACAAGCCATCATAGCGCTTGCACTTATACTATATGTACTAATCGCCGCAATCTATCTCGCACTATATGTACCAATAACTATCGGCAAACCCATAAGAGTTCTTTTTTGGCTCTGCCTAATGGTAGTCAAACTTTTATTAACCAAGGGATGGCGCTGTGCACGCGCGATGTTACGCTATTGCTATAAACCTCGGCATCGATCAAGAGCAGCACGCCTAACAGAAGCATTAGCCATAGTAACACTAATATCCTTGAGGAGCACAACTTTCGCATGTCAGCAAATAGACGTTTTAGAACATCGCTTGACTGTCTGTGAAATAACAGGTGAAAAAGAATCATGTTCTATCGAGATAAAAGAAGTTCTAAAACTCAGCACGTTCAAACAGGAAGCGTGCTTACGTCTAACCAAAAATGGTTCCCATATAGAAAACGTCAAAGTGCGTTGGAAGGGACTCAGATTGTACTGCGAGAAAGAAACGCTGTTCTTTACCAGAGCATCTAACCTACAAGTCATAGATAGCAAACGTTGCCCCCATATGGGGTCATGTACAGGGAAAAAGTGTGCAGCGATCAACGCAAGCAGCATCATTCCTGAACTGGAGCAGGGAAATCAATTTCCGGGTCGAACGGGCTGCTTAGAATCCTGTGGAGGACTCGGATGCGACTGCTTTTACCCGAGCTCTGGTTGTCTTTTTTACAGGGTTTATGCTACACCGAAAAATTCCGACGTTTACGAGATTTTTAGATGCGAACGATGGAGAGAAAACATCAAACTAGACATTTACTTAGAGAATTTGCGCTTAGGGAAACAGCACTTTGTCATTTCTGCAATTCCAAGCATTCCGGTCAGTCTCCCAAATTTGCGCTTAACATTGACCTCCATCTCAATACCGCCTATTGCATCACTACATGATCATTTCATCACTAACGGTAAAGACACAGCCTTATGGAAAACTGCGGTCATGCCAGAGGTTGTATGCAATTCTAGTAAAGCAGCAGCCTCATTTACATGTATCTTGAGAGACAACTGCAGATGTACAGCAGCAGAAAACAAAGTTGCATGCCAATGTCCCGAAAATGATGTTGAAAGAGAATTCCATCAGATCCAACACAAACTGCCTATCAAGTCAGCCTCATGGGAAATAAATAGCTACAACAACAACATAATAGCAAAAATCCCACAGATGGTTTCCGCCGAGTTAATACTCAGCATAAAGAAAAAGGTCGATACCGCAGTTTTAGAAATCCACGATAACTTCTGCGAGGCTCAAAACGCTGCCTTAACAGGATGCTATAATTGCGCTTTGGGAGCAGTAGCAAAAATCACTTGCAGCGCAACAAAACAAACACTAGGCGAAATCATTTGTGAAAATACCGCCTTTGTCGTACCGTGCGCCCCTGACTTACCAAGTTCCAACTTATACTTCCATTTCAACGCAGCGCGTCAACTCATCAACTGCTCAATTTCATGCGGAAAAACAAAAAACTACTTCATCATATCCGGCATTCTCAAGTACACAGGAGACATCCGATCACATCTCCTGTTTACCTTGAAAGGCAATAGCACAGTATATGGCGAAATAGAATGGCCTGATTTTTCGCATGTTCTGAGCGTCTACTTGGACTGGTACAAGACGGTAGTTGTCGCACTCATGTTCGTCGGAGTTGCGCTTCTGCTATCTTACACCCTCTTGCAAACAATAGGGCTACGCGCCGTCACAATATTATTTCGCGCCTTCATCAAAACAATTTGCTTTCCGTTTCGAGTCGCAGTCTTTGTCGTGTGCTTTCTACTCCGATTTCGAAGAAGAAACGCGCGTACAACTACACTCACGCATCTCAAAGAGATTTGAAAAACAAACAGAAACAAAAGAATCTACATGTCAAAAAACCTGTATATATCATTTAGATAAGACTATTTTAGACATGGAACAAAATCAAGAAATACAACGCCTCGAGAATCAACTTCATCAAATCGAAAGAACACTGTCTCAACCAAAAGCAGAAGATCTTTTTAAGGAGATAGTATCAAATTGCAATCAAGTGAGCGAATTGAAAAAAGCCATGAAACCAATTTACGAAAAAGTGGCAAGCTTGAGAAGTGATGCGAAGCAAAAGAAAGATCGAAATCTAGAAGTTCAAAACCTAGAATCAGTCCTGGAAAAAAGAAGGCTGGAATTCCTCTTATCACGAACGCAACTAAGGAACTTGTACAATTCAGCAAATTTCCTCATAGCAATGGGCACATTTTCAAAGTCAGAATGGAATGCGATGAACCAAAATGAAGTGGAGAATACGGAAAACGACCTCTTCACTGATGAACAATCAATAGAAATAATGATCGAAGGACAACTCCAACTCATCCAACAAAATGAAAAAGTCCTCAAGCATTTACACAGTGAACTACGACCCGCGGAAAAGACGGAATCCAGCATTGATGACGATATGAGACAGGCCCTAATTGCACTGAAGAGTGCATGCGAAAAGGTGCTGTACACGCACCCGATGAAAGAATGCACTGACGCATCGGAGCAACACGATGTATCAAAATACCATGAACGACCAACAACTACAGAAGCCAACACTCAAACTACTGACCTGCTGAGAGAAATCTCAGCAGAAGCAGCAGACTCGGACAACAATTCGTGGGACACTGAAGAACCAAACATGGATGAACGCTCCAAGGATACTGACCAATACTCGTCGACAGACGAAAGACAACAAACCCCCGATGAAACAGAAGCGAAACATTCGAGGGAAATAGTGGCCGACGAAGAAGAAACAACGAGCTCAAGAGAAACCAAAGAGAAATCAAATGCAAGCGACTGGAGAGAAAGAAGCCCTCCCGACGAATTAGTTATAGACGACGACATCATGATCGTCGACGAATTGGAAGAGGAGCAGACGCTTACCGATGACGCAGAAAGGAGGGAAAACGTGAGCAAAGAAGACAGAGCCCTCCAAATTCAACAAGAAATGCGACAAGTAAAACAAGCAGTCAACGAGCTGAACTCACTTATAAGTGAGCTGGAGAACCGGCGCACATGTGCGCCACGAAGGATCCAAAATCGAGTGATCAGTCGTGACGCAGACCGTTTCATTCGATGTATCTACTGCGATACCGTCGGAATGCATTATTCCGATTCCTGTCCTGCGGTACAGGACTCCGCCGACAGGAGAAACCTGCTCGATGAACAACACAGGTGTCATATCTGCTTCCAGATTCTCGGTATCGTATGTTTTGGAGGACGAAAATGCCGAAAATGGAGTAACCCATGTTATCATTGCCGGCGTTACGGACACCACTCCTCAGTCTGCAGTCTCCCCGACACCAGCACGCCTATTTTCGAGAGACTGGGGAGAGCTCGCAACGCTCTACATCGGAAACAAGCCCGCCTTCGAACCCTGGAGGAAGAGTTTCGCCTCTACATAGGTCATTAACAAGGTGGGGCGGCAGTATCGCGACTTCACACCGCGAGCTGCGAAAAAATATCACATGTTCCCATGGTAGCTTTCAAGCGTCTTTATCAAATCCGAATAATCATTTTTGTGGATTAGACTGAGAGATTATACTCAATCTACACCAAAGAGTACGCACAAGATAAAATTATTGCGTTTGCTCCACCGAGCGGTGAGTATTTTACCCTGCAGCATTTTGCGCTACTATAACTGGACTCAAGGCACTTATTCTCCCATTCATTGGCTGAACACATTTGCTACCCATTAATCCTCAAGTGACTACATTTGAAAGAGACTTGCTCAATAGGGGGTGGTGCAGGGGTAACCAAAGGACTGCAGCCTGTATCCGCAGGAGATAATTGAGAGCGCAATGGCTGTGGAGAATACTTTGGTAAAGATCCAAGAAGACTTGGCAAGGATATGCTTTGGAACAAATTATTAAAACATGGTTGGAATCAACTTGGTATTTGAAAAAAAAACTCGTAATAGAAATTGGGAGACACAGTCATTGAGCGTTGAAAAACCGCGCTTTCAGTTAAGAATTTATTCCTTTTTCCACGAAATAAGGGAGTAGTCGACATTTTGAGTCAATAATCTCAGAACCTTCCATCATTGAACCTGAATATCTCAGTCTTCACTTCTCAAACTTCCCCATTGCGCTCGCGCCTCTTGTATTCCCTGCAGTTATATGCGGCAGGCCTTTGATTTTTCCTGCACCGCCTCCTTCTCAATAACCATAATCCAAATATTTGTTACTTACTTCAAACACTGTGATTTTTGCAGCAGACATAATCTGTCTGACACTGAGATGATAGATGATATCAAACCGGTAAAGGTATCTACACTGTTCAATAGTTTGGTGAAGAAACATATCTTATTTTGGTTACCGCTAGTAGCACCAACCCATCAATTCCGTAAAAGATATTGAATGCGTTTGTTACCACAAAACGGTTGTTGTTAGACCTATCGCGACTTCACAGCGCGAGCTGCGAAAAAATATCACATGTTCCCATGGTAGCTTTATCTTATAAAATGATCTTTTACAGAATGCGCCAGCCGGTAAAGATGTGTCAACAACGATCAACTTCAGATAGAAGCTCTCGCATGGTGAGAGCAGCCGTTTGACTTCATTTATCTTCCGCTTTCTCAAGAAGCCACAGTCAACCAGAAATGGCTTATCTCTTTCGTTGTTTTAACTCACTTTCACTCAAGGACCCAAGCCATATGCGCCTTCGAGTTCATCATGCAAAAAAAACGTAACGCTTTTCACGTTTCCAACACGATCTAAAAAGGAAAAAACTCAAATGAAACTCTGCGCCTTTATCTGGTTCCACTTGTTTTCAACGCGCAGTTTTCAGAAAACAGATACGAATCATTCCAAAAGCTTCAAGCAAAAACACGCGCCAATCCACTAATAACGTTTGACACCATTCTGAGGTTGTAGAAGTATCAATAGAAATCTAGTTAGTGTGTGTTCATTTATATCGTGTATTATATATCGTGTATTATGTACTTTTACAAATTCCTTGATTGGGTTTAATTACCCAAGTTTGAGGTAACCGCCAAATAAAAGTTGCTTGTCAATTGGTGTGGTATTGGTGTTGTCGAGTTGGTTTCTATGCCACTGAACTACGAAAAAGAACACAGTATATAAAAGAAGACCAAACACAAATCTTTAGACTTCAGCCATTTTGAGTATTACAATGCACTGCAGGTAGGTATGTTTGATTTCGCCGACCTAATCCAAGTTCACTTTAGAACACTTTTGGCACTCTTGTTAGTAAAAATCGCAGCTACAACAGACATAGAAGAAAGTCCCTTGCCAAGCAGAGATGAATCAAATAGATATTACGTACATGTAAGTGCGCGTATCTCCACATTCGCTTCAAATGAGAGTACCCTAAAACCTCACAGATAAGTCCTCCCATCAAATAAGTCCATCTACAGATAAGTCCGCCTTCAGATAGGTCCGCTTTTTTGACTCAGTTAAGGTCCTATAGATAAGTCCGCCTACAGATGAGTCCGTTTTCTTCCCAATTATTACTACCCTGAAATCTTGTCACATAAGTCCGGACTTATCTGTAGACGGACTTATCTGATGGAGGACTCATCTGCAAGATTCTCGGCGGTGTGAGGGTGCATTTTCATCAATTTTTCTTGTCAAAAAAGCGGACTTATCTGTAAGATTTTAGGGTAAATTCGATTGTCAGACTCATTACACGCGTTGTTACAGAAAATTACACTGCCTTATAATCCACCGCGAACAGAATCACAAAAACTGGCGGATTGTCAAAAACTGGAATTTGTGCACGTCTTCCCACCGGAGTTGACGGCAAGAAGTTTCCTAACGAGTCCTTGAATTTGACTTGAGATGGGCGGTTCAGGAGGATCAAATTTGTGAGCGTGTTGTCAAACTTAATGGATAAGTAGACAGATAGAAGCGGCCAGCGAGAAGGTTAGCCTTATAAGCACCAAAAAAGAAAGACGAAACTTTTAAGTTGTAAAGAAATTTCCGTACACCTGCGAGAAGTACAAGTACATTACTAGAGGTTATTGTTACATCATTTTCACAAAAAGCCACAAGCCTTGTATGTGAAAAACGTGAGCTCTGTTGTTATATATCGTCGATCCGTTGACCGCCGGACCAAACTCACTGCGGAACACGCGCCATGAGGTAAAACGCTTGTCTCAGTACAAAATCGCCATTGTAGATACAAGTATGTAGTCCGCCGCAACACCGCCGCGCCGCGGGTAGTTCGCAACCTTTAAGCAGTTCGTGCGGTCAACAAATCGACGGTACTACATTCCTTCCAACTTTACATAATGGTTAAAGGTGGAGAGGTTAAAGGAAGCGTCCCGGCAAAAAGCGGTTGTGGCAATGTTGAAGCAGACACCCTGCCTAAGCGACTGAAGTTCGGAGCGACAACTCAGATAATCGCCGGGGGCAGGCGGTCCGCAAACTCGCGCTTTTCTGCAGGCGGTCAGCAGAATTTTGGGGCGTGGCCAAACCTTCAGCGGGCGGCACTTCCTTTACGGTCGCATATTCTGCCAGAGGGCAGCAATACAGCATTTTTTGCAAGCGCTCGGCAAATAATTTCTTTCAGCGAGCGCTGGCCAAACTTTCAGCAAGCGCTCGGACTCTTTTAAGGCATTTTCGGGCGTACGTCGAGCGCAGGTAAGACTCTGTGTGGCAGAGGTGTCACCGTTGGTTTAATTACTCAAGTTTGAGGTACTTTCTCTCAGCGGAAAGTACCTGGGGGTTGCGCGGTCCTCCAAGGACCGTGCGGCCCTCGAAATTTTTGCATATTTTCGCGGAAAGTCCGCGAGAATGCGGCCACTGCGCCGCAGCTAATCCATAAAGAAACCGCGATTGTTCTTCAAGCATTCGTCTTTGATTTCGCCAACTTTCTTCCAAATTTCTGCAAGCGGGCCGCAAAAAATCAACGAACTATTTTTCCGGTGCGCGCTTGCTCAAAATTCGCATGGCCGCCTGCCCCCGGCGGTTATCTGAGAAAGGGGGTCTACCAACCCTAAAAGTGGTCAAGATCTTACGGCCGCCCGCACAGCGATTTCGAACTGCAAGGCCAGAGCACGCATCTCGCGCGGTCTTCTTGCAAAAACGCACCTCCGTGCACGTGCAAGGCTGCGTATTTGTTGCAAATGACAGCGGGGAACGCCCCTATTCGGCGACATAAAGTCCTCTATCTACCTTGCACACAGTCATGGGGACAGGATCCTGCAACGACTTTGCGTCTCTACCTTGCATGCATCTCGCACTCCCCGAGCCTACCGTAAGATCCGGGCCATTTCGGGGCAAATTTCAGGCCTGGTAGACCCTCTTTTCGCTCCGGACTTCAGTCATCGCTCAGGTAGGGGGTCTACTTTGACATCGCCGCAAAAACCCGGCGCTCATCTTTTTACCAGGACGCTGCCTTTAAGGATCACCGAGTAAGCTTAGGAAATGGGGAAAACTATATAGGGTGTCCCAAAAAAATATGCACACTGTTTGATTGTAAATAACTCTCTTGTAGTGAAGTGTTTCGAGAAGCTTTAGGTACCATTTTGTAGAGCGAGGTTCAACTTAGATTTACGAGCGATCGGCGAATCGCCGATCGCTCATTCTTACTGTAGGAGTACGGTAGAAACTCCAAACATATGGTGTCACTGTGAAAAAAGCGGCCGTTTCAAAAATTTTCAAAAAAATGTGTAAACCTGTGTAGTAGGGTCTTCATGGACCCTGAGTTCAATACCCAACTCCTTACAAGGTTGCAGAGCTTTCTAAACGGTGCAACCGCACTTTTCTAGGAACATTGAAAAAATGGCCGCTATTGCTTACCTCGCATAATTTTTTAATGAGCATTACGAAAAGTTGCAAACTTCACATTTAGAATCAGACTTTAATTAGTGTGAGAGTGTGAGAGTTCTCAGAGGTTGTTTGGTTCCTTTTTGGAACAAAATATGGCCTTTCATGGCCCAAAACCCTCTTCAAAGTTTCTACCGTACTCCTACAGTAAGAATGAGAGATCAGCAATCCGCTCTAACTGTAGATCTAAGTTGAAAACCTCGCTCTACAAAATGATAGCTAAAGTTTCTCGAAACACCCCACCACGAATGAGTTATTTACAATCAAACAGTGTGCACATTTTTTGGGACACCCTGTATATTGAGTGGTAGAACCACTTTTGACCTCAAGATGATTTACTTCATGGTATGAGTGGCTGAGTCAAACGGAGATGAATAAGCTTTGTATATTTTACCTAGCTCGTATCTACCTATTGAGCATTATTCGAGAATGGTCAGAAGTCGAAGTGGTCAATCCAAACAGGCTGCAAACCGTTAGATGCAACATGAAGCGATGACTGTAAATCTTCCTTATCTGCTTATCACTTTTTTGGACGAAGTTATAAACCATTAAAAGCCACTATTTTGCTAAGAAATCATGGAAAGTGAAACATTGGCCGTACAAAGCCACGTTCGGCTCAATGCTGGGCCCAAACATGCAACTAGGTTACTTTAAACCCTTAAAGCCTAAAGCTGAGATAAAGCAACAATGTGCTCAATTTCGCAATTTTTATGCACGACTATTTCGCAATAAAAATGCTTGTGGCTTCGACGACAGAAGCGATAAGCAGATAAGAAAGACAGATTCGAAGTCAGCGTTCAATGCTGCATCGAATGGTATAAAGCTTGTTGGTTTGGCCACTTCGACTTCTGACAATTCCCTTGTAAGCAACACCTGCTTCGAAAGTGCTGAAATTCGAAAAGCACAAATATTGGACTGCGCATTGACTGAACGCAGTAATCCAAAAATTGATTGCGCTTTCTCCTGTGCGTTTTAACCTTGCATATCGATCTTGAATAATTGAAGTACAGAAACGCATGTTGAGGTACGAGGCTTTTACGAGAAGGCATATGATTGGTTTGAGTTACCAGCCATAGAACAGCAACGTCAGGTAGCTCCGATTTTCATGCATTTCACGGTGCTGTCCTTGAGAGCTTCGCTTTAGCGCGACAATGTGATGAACACCTTGAACGATGTTGAGAAGGAAGAAGTTGCGCAGCTAGTAGAACGCACTTCGGTAAATAAATTGCTCTGATTCACCTGTGAATAAAAAGCATCTTTCAGAAAAAAGTGGACGAGGATCCGGTGCTCTCAGCCCATCGTTATTTCCACTCACCTCAGAGAGTCATTGAGGAAATGGAAAGAAGTCATGCTAGTCCTTGAAAGATCGAGATTTTTGGCGTGAAAGTGGGAATGAATTATTATGAACAGAAGTTAGATGCAGCTATTGTGTAACCGATTCATGTATGTCACACTTCCTCTGTTGAGTAAAAAATCTCGCCCATACATTATTATCAAACACTTTGTAACGTTGTTTTGTTTCGCGCGTGAAGAAGATAATATGAGCTGTCTCTAAAAAATTAGTACAGATTGCGAAAAGGCTCTGCTTTCAGTTTTATTGAGTACTAGCTGGCTTACCCGGCTCCGCCGTATCCGGACCAAACTTGGCACACATACACTTCGGGCCCCGGCGGGTGTCATAGTCCACTTTTCGTTATCGATCGATGTCGATTTTACCGATTTTTATCGATTTTTTTGCAGAGTTCACCTACAGGGCTAGGAGTTGGCACAGGGGGGGAAGTGAGCATGGGGATTCCGAATACAATATTAGTTTTCAGAATTATCGATTACTTTTATTGATTTTATCGATTTTTTGAAAATTTTGACATGCGAGGCTGGGATTTTGCACAGGGGGTAATCGAGCATGCTGATTACGAACACAATATTAGTTTTCAGGATCGTCCACTACTTTTATCGATTTTATCGATTTTTTTTGTAAAGTTTGACCTGCGGGGCTGGGAGTTTGCACAGGAGGGTAATCGAGCATGCAGATTACGAATACAATATTAGTTTTCAAGATCGTCCATTACTTTTATCGATTTTATCGATTTTTTGAAAATTTAAGCTAGGGGAGTGGAATTTGGCACAGGGGTGTAATCGAGCATGCTGATCATTCCCCTTGGGGGTGATCAGCATGCTCGATTACCCCCCTGTGCGAACTCCCAGCCCCGTAGCTCAAACTTTGCAAAAAAAATCAATAAAATCGATAAAAGTAATCAATAATCCTGAAAACCAATATTGTATTCGGAATCCCCATGCTCGATTACCCTCCTGTGCCAACTCCCAGCCCCGTAGCTCAAACTTTGCAAAAAAATCGATAAAATCGATAAAAGTAATCGATAATCCTGAAAACCAATATTGCATTCGGAATCCCCATGCTCGATTACCCCCCTGTGCCAACTCCCAGCCCCGTAGGTAAACTCAGCAAAAAAATCGATAAAAATCGATAAAATCGATATCGATCGATGACGAAAAGTAGCCTATGACACCCGGCGGGGCCCGAAGTGTATGTGTGCCAAGTTTGGTCCGGATCGGTTCAGAAATGGAATTTTCTATTCGGAACATACGTACAGACATACATACAGACAGACAGACATACATACATACAAACAGACATTCAGCTTTATATATAAGACCAGTCCAAAGCGCCGCTTCGCGGCGCTTTGGACTGGCTGTGTGTGTGAATTGGGAATGTGACTGAAAGTTAGAACCTTCGAGGATTTGTAGCGAACCTTTTCCTCTCCAAAAGTATGGCATGGATTTGAACACGTAATGAACCCAGAAGTTATCAAAGTAACGGATCTTTCCTGCTTTCGGAAATTTCGGAAATTTTCTCATAAAAATTGGCAACAGAATTATGAATGCTCCCCTCCCAGCTTTTTCTAACCGCACCCACTTCCTTGAGACACGAATTTACAGATACTTAATTCACATATGCTCGAATCTTATATAAATTTGCGTTTTGCTATCCCAGTCTTTCGAGGTTTCCCTCCCCTCGACTCGTTACCCAGTAACTTTTAATCAACTTTGCTGAAGTACCACTCTCTTCTCGCATTCTCACACTCTTCAGTTCTGAGGGCATGTCGTAGGAGGCCGTTCTGACTCACGCTTCGAAAGTTGCCCCCAAATCTGCTTATTCAAATGTTCAGTCTGATCACGATTTAGACAGGCTTAGCCTAAGTTCTCCATGCTGCGAAGTTTCTCGGATGCTTTCAAACTTTTACGCGTCAAAAAACGTAACGCAAAAAAAATTTTGTGATTGAAGCGCCCGTCCCAAACCCGATAAAGTAATCCCAGCCATGTGCACTCTTCCCACCCGGGGCCGTTTCCCACATTTGACCCTCCAAACTGCCTTAGAACCCCCTCCCCCCCCCAACCCCCCCCCCCCCCAACTCCCTCCCCCACCCCAGAAGCTTCAATGAGACTACTTTCATCTCTTCCCGAAATCAAACTAAAGAAAATTCGAATTGTTATTTTTGAAAATATATAGCCAACATTGGAACTACCAAATCTAGAGCTTTTCACAATCGAACACTCCCTTTTTCTTTTCAGAAGTATTCTTTTTGAGAGCGCCATAATTTCTCTTCTATTTCAAGAAACTCTCGTTCGTGTTTTATGAGGTTCCCAAAATATCCGGCATCCTTGCAATTCATACGTAGGCTCCAAAATCGATCATTTTTCAGGACATCTTATTGAGCAAGCTCAAATTCTTGAAGGAACCTACTTAAAAGTGCCCATGCTTCTAGCTGCTCACCTAGGCAGATCTCGTTTCTTATACAATTTTGAGGTTGTACAATATTCTGGCAAAGCTGCGCTGTACGTTGGTAAAGCTTTAGTTTACGCAAAGCTAAGTTGCATGCCACCTTGTCTCTTATTCGAAGCTGAGATACTAAAGGCAGACTCATACAGCATTTAGTCCTAATATATCAAACGCGATCGCATTGACATTCTTTTACATTACTCTTCGAATTTTTGATGTTTGAAAGAAAACTCGGGAAGTTGAAAGTGTTCTTTAGAGTTTACTTTTCCTAGCTGAAGAAGGTTTTTGCATCCGGCTTTCATCGAGTCTTGAGACAATTTGCATGACCACGCTGTATCCGTTTGGAAAAATAGTGTTTCGTACAATTGTTGGCAACTATCTAAAAGGTTCACACAGTATTGGGATGTCAACTCAATGGAGTCCAAAAATTTCGAAGTTCATCAACTTTGACAAACATCTTTGCATGTGAATTGAAAAGAAGAAAATCTAAAGAGCTTGTGGTGTAGACATTTCAGACAAAGTGCTTATTCATGAAAAATCGTAGACAAACATTGTCCAGAGCAAAGTTTGCGAGAATCCTCCAAAAACAGATTTAGTGCAGTTTACCTGGAATAATAACATTCATTAAGCACTTCACGGAGAACTTCTTCTTGCTGAGATACGTTAACAGAAAAATTAGAAGGACAGAATAATTGAAGATTTGGCGCAGCTCTTACGGTGAGGAAACATACTAAGCACTCGAGAAACGGACTATGGAAGACTGCAGTATATTAAATACCTAACTTTTCCGAATAACTTATGCTCCCCTCCAAATTAAACGCTCTATAATAGAAATAGAGAAGCGAGATGTAAAAAAAGAACGTAATGGTGTTGAGATAATGTACAAACAATTTGGCCAACCCTTGATGATTTTCGAAATGAAGCTATTACAGTCAGTGGAACAGCTTAATCAATTCAGCCAGTTCAAGTGGTGTTAATTTCGCTGTTTTTGGTGCCAACTCATAAACATCGCTAGAGAACATGACCGAAAACTCTGGAGGCAGCATTGTATGACGTCATCAGCGCGACTCATCTTGGCCGCCGGGCGCGTTGCCGTTAGTGGTAAACAACACCGGAACATACACACACCATGCTGACTCACATGGGGGTGCTAGCGCTTTATATAATAGTATGGATCAGTGGTGTTTGGCTCCTCATGGCAGAGGGAATAATCCATGCTACACAAAATAGCTTCTATTGATCAAAAAAATTACCTGAAGAAAATTTGTATGATAATTGATTGTTTGGAAAATCTAGAATGCCACAATTTATTCAAATATTAAAAAATATTATAAAATGTACTCATTATTCGCTCATTCGCTCAAACCGACTCCATCGATTACTCGAATTTCAAACTTTGTTCTTACAATTCGATTACAATCCTCCCTTTTTGCTTACATCCCTTCAACGCCCTACTTTCTTACATGAAATGGATAGTGATTAGCAGAGATACAGAAAAACACAGAAAAACACATAAAAAGGGAATTATCATATCCAGGAGATCATATTTCCAACTATGGGAAAGCGAACCACATCCTGCCCACATTCAAAAATCAAGTTTGTATTTACGATGTTTCGAATGTACATAACAACTAGTATAGCATTTTCTTTACCCAACACCTTTTCTCTAATCTTGTTTGAGCATGATGTCAACTTGTAAGGAATTCCACGTTTCCTAGCCTTACGCACTGAATCACAGCTCTTAATTGTTGTTGAAGCCATTGTTTGAAAAAGAATTACATAAAAGAAAATGCTTGGTAAGCGGTTTCGACTACTTTGATTCAGTAACCTCTAAAGCTGATGACTTCCCGTAACTCTTATGACGGCCACTACTAAAATCAACTTTATCGTGCTGTTAAAATAGTGGTGTTTCGTTTTCATTCAATTGTCCAATCTGATTAATAACTCGGCGCGTTCATCATTGACAATGTCGGTAGCCCCAATTCGAAGGATTGCAATTTTCGAAAAAGAAGAAGTGAATTCTCTCGTCCGTCGTTAAGAATGGTATTAGCGCGCTAGGAAATCCATAATGACTCAGACAATGGTCGGACCCCTCCGCTGGGGAAATGGCAGGGTCGCGGCGTTTCCCCAGCGGTGGGTCACCCATTCGTCCGGCGGAGCCCTCCCATTTCTCCGGCGGAGACCTCCCATTTCTGCTCCGGATACCTCCCATTTTCTGCTCCGGAGCCCCCCGATTTTGTGCGCCGGAGCCCCCCGATCGCGGCATACTGTAATTAGCCCTAATTAAAGGCAGCTTCCAGGCAGATCTGGACCTATGGGGCTTTTACATGGAAAGTACTTTTGGGGCCCTAACTAAGGCACTGCCGAAGCAGCAGCTCAGGTAGTGCTCCAATGGCTGAGATATTCCCCTCGAAACAGACCCCCGCGAACGTACTCGCATGGATTCATGGCAGTTTCGCGCCAGGATCCACTCTTTGCGCCATGAATCCATGCGAAACACGGTCGCGGGGTCCGGTTTCGAGCAGAATATCTCAGGCGTTAGAGCACTACTTGAGCTGCCGGT